TAATGGTTTTGCACACAGAAGCAAGATGAAAATCATTCCTGTGTTTTTCCATATCGTTTAACAATGTTCCTTCAGTCCTCATTAACTTGGGACTTGGGATCTACCACTGCTCATCTGTATGCAGTAGAAACCAGGCCCACACTGGTGAGTATTTTGGTGTTAACTCTCCCTGTATCTGAAGGGCCTTTTATTTATGTTAAACAATTTTTTGTACACAGAAGCAAGATGAAAATCATTCCTGTGTTTTTCCATATCGTTTAACAATGTTCCTTCAGTCCTCATTAACTTGGGACTTGGGATCTACCACTGCTCATCTGTATGCAGTAGAAACCAGGCCCACACTGGTGAGTATTTTGGTGTTAACTCTCCCTGTATCTGAAGGGCCTTTTATTTATGTTAAACAATTTTTTGTCTTGTTTGAAAAAAAGGGTGAAGAGTTTGCTCAGTGTTCTTAGGGAGGATTTCTGTGAATAGGAAATTAATTCATCCAGTTGGATTTTACCAAAGACTTTTACATTGAGCTTTAAAATATATTTAAAATGTTTATTTGAATTCCAAGTCAAACGATTTTTAACAAACTGTCTCAAGATAGAAGAAACAGACATTTTGGAGTAACTGTATTGTTTATTCGTTGTATTGCAGTAGCACCTAGAGATCCCTATTGTGCTAGATGCAGACAAACACAGAACAGAGCTGGTCCCTGCCCATGGTTGCTCAGCCTTCAGCTTGGCCTCATTCTTCAGACCCACTGATGACATTTCAGCTGGGCTCTTTGGGGTGGTGGGGTCAAACCTGCAAGCTTGACTTCCTCATCACTCCCAACAGAGAAAAGATCAAGTAGGAGGCAAGTTTCAGTGAGCTGAACAACCTGCCCTTTCCTGCTGGCACTTCTCCAACTGATTTTTCCCATGTTGTAGGTACCAAGCCTGTGGCTGAGCCATGTGGGCTTCCTGAGATCACTGGTGCTCCTTTAAGAGCTGTGGTTTCCTTGTTCCCAGTGTCCTAGGCAGATAGAGGTGTTTGGATAAAAGGAAGCCTTTTCAGTGGTTTGTGGTTTATAGTATTTAAAAAAAAAAAAGTTTTCCTTTTTGTTTTGCCTTCTAAATTTTCGTTCTCATTCAGTACCTTCCCACAGTTACTGCCATTTGGGGCAGGGAGAAGGATATACCAAAAAGCAAACCTGACATCACACATGCACACTGTCAATCATCAAAGTATCAAAAACAAAGCTTGCAAGAGCACAAACTTGTATAAATGTGGAGAGAAAAAATAGGACACTGACTAAGCACATCAGGCCATCTTGTCCCTTTGGGCATCTTTAAGATAGGGTGGAAGAAACTCCACCCATTTTTGAGCTTGTCTCCTGGGTCACCATCCCATCCTTTTCCACCTTCTCTCCCAGCCCCCAGGAATAGCTGAGATTTGTTCATTCTGATTTACAGACCCTTAGAGAGACAGTCCCAGTGAGGGATGAACAAGAAATCCTCAATGTTGGTTTATGTTTGATCAAGTTAGAGCCCCTTAGGGGTAAAATAAGCCAAAAGATAATTTCTCTAGACCTGTCTGTTCCCTTCTCTACTCTCACTGGATGGCATGGACTGGCTCCTACAGGCTGGAAAGGTGATGGGATCAAGTAAATGAACAGAAAGGAGCTTTTCTCTGTCTGTGCTGGTTTGGGGCAGATCCTATCTGCTGTTTGTACCTCCTGTGTGCAAAGAGCAAGGAAAAAGCCATTGTGCATCATCTGCAGGGAGGTGAAAGGGATGGGTTGTGAGAAGCACAGAGCAATCGGTCTAATTAAGGACAACAAACATGCAAGTCAGAGCAGGGGAGAGGAAAGGCCTGGACCTTGGCAAACAGAAATGTTGCATCGTGGTTTCCAGTGTGTGCTACAGCCTAGCTCTGACTAGTGCTGGCAGAAGCAGAGCAACCAGAGTTTGGCATGGTGTTAGCAGAGAGGAAGATCAGCTCTTTCTGCTGAGCTGCTTCTAACGTGTGACCCCAGAAATAAATAAATAAATAGCCTGAAGCTGTGCATGTCACTGGTGCAGCTCAGCAGATGTGTCTCTGAACCCCTGGTCAAAGAGACCAAGTTCTTGCCCTATGTCTTGAGGCAAGGGCAATGTCAGGGAACAGCACTTCCAAAACACAAGCCAAATGCAGGGTGCTCTGAAACCAAATCCCTCTGCCTGCAAATAAGAAAGTTGGGTTTCTGACTACTTGTTTCTAAATGTTTTGTCACAAACTTCCTTTGGAGTTGGAGAAGATGGAAAAAAAACGGGATGAGTGCTCCTTGGTCCAAGCTTAATATCCAAAATCTCTGCTTAGAGCTCTCAAGGAGGAAGGACTTCCTCAAAGAATTCTCCTGTCCACAACATATGATGCAGCACATCTTTGGGAGCTCCCAATGTGCTCTGAGGTTATGATACCCCCTGTGGCTAAGGAAGGAAAAATGTATTCTTTACCTCTGCAGAGGTGGGTCTAGATAGAGCCATCTGAGCCCCAGAAGTCTGGGGGAGCTTGGATGTGGATTCCTGTGACCTGTTACAGGGACAGGCTCAAACGGGTGCTGTTTGGATGTGAATCCAAATCCAAATTCCACAGAACTTTGGCTGCCAGTTAGCTGGGAGCCTTTATGCTATCTCCAATTCCAAAAAAAAAAGAAACAAAAAAACCAACAAAGTAAAAGGTGCTTTTAAAATATCATGAGGAGAGAAACTGCCATGGAAATAAATAGCAAAAATAACAACGTTAACATTTCTGGTGTCACAGCAACTCTGAAATTCAAGTAGTGTGCCCAAGCCTGCAGTGCTTATCACAGCCACTGTCGGTGTGGCCTGAGCTTCAGAGCTCGGGTTGTGTCCTGTTGTTCACTGAAACAACAAACTCCTCCCTGGTGCTGGAATGGATGTAGAGAGAAAGGGAGAGGAAAGATGGATGCAGTCTCTGCTGATAATCAGGTCTTTACTGTGCCCACCTGGTGCCGCATTTTAGCGGAACGGAGACATAAAGTTCTCTTGTTTCTGTCTCTGTCATGCCTGAGATAGAATGGCCACACTTCAGAGCTGGAAAGGGTATTGCTTCAAATAGTCCCCCATCCGCCTGGGCAGAGGGAGCTGGTCCACGTCGGCTGTGCACTTGTTAATCCGCAGCCGGCACAGGTGCTGCAGGCTGGGGATGTTGTCCTTGCGGCTGAGCGGTCGGATGAGTTTCAAGTGTACTGCAGCTGCTGCCATCTCTTTCTGCATGGGAGGTAGAGGAGACGGAGGTGGATAAGGAGCCTCAGTCTTGCTTTCTGTTGTGCATGACATGACATAATGCTGGATAAGACTGACCACATCCGGGAAGGCCAGGATGCGAGGTTTGGACAGGTAGTTGGAGTCTAGCCGGAACTTGCTGTCAGTGTATTCAATGCGCACATTGGTGGGACCTCGGTTCGTCTTGACGGAGAGTGTGAACAGGTAGCTGGGGTGGGTGCTGTCCCGTACCAGGAACGTGCCCTCAGGCATCTTTTGGAGATGCTGCTTGGCCTCGCTGGCGGTGATAGAACCCCAGTACCAACCTGGACAAGCATCCAAGAAAGAATTTGTTA